AGAAGACCTGGAGGTCTGTACAGACAGGTAGTGACGAGGTGGTCATGTGGTTGGGTTTACAACCAATGAGAAGGCAGAACAGAAAGTCTTTATAAAGACTTTAACACAGGAAGTAGCTCTCTTTCGGAGAGGTAGGACCACCTCGAGAGGAAGGGTAAGGTTTTTAGGTCTTAGCTCTGACCTCTTGGCTTTCTTCTTTGCATTAGCTCTGTGTTTCTTATTTAATAAGATGGTTACTTCTACAGGGCACCCCCACACAAACATAAAAATAAGTCTTTAAAGAGGCCATGCCATCCTTCTCATTACCAAAGATAATTGTCCACCAATAAACTGCTGAGACTTTATCTTAAGGAAAGCTATAGTAGAAGAGAGAAACCTACCTGAATAAAGAAACTCATTATATATATAAAGAAACTCAGTGAAATTCTAACTGTGATATATCAACTTGATGAAGTATTAATTGCATTTACTAATTTATTGTAAAAAGTCGAAGGACAAATTACAGGAGTCAGTTCTCTCCTACCATGTGGATTCTGGGCATCAAACTTGGGTTGGCAACCTTTGAGTCCAGTCAGCCTACCTACCAAGCTGTCCTGCCTGCTCCTTGATCAAATACTCTATAGTCATTTATAAGTGATAGTTACAATGACAAATGTGAAATTGAGAAATATTACTTAAAAGTACAAAGCATATCATTTTAGTGACTTTCTGTTGTTGTGAAAGACACCATGACCAAAAGCAACTTGGGGAAGAAAGGATTGATATCAGCTTTTCCATTTCTTAGGTCTTCCATATCTCCTGTCATGGAAGATTAGAGACAACTGTGCTCATTTATAGGAACAGGTATTAAATTTAGAAATCAGATAATTAGGTATTATACATTTTATGAATGGAAAAAGTGCATATGTCATTGACAAGGACATATACTGGACTATCTCAGTAGCCATCTCTAGGGTTAATATTCCAGAAAATCTTCCTTTGGTTTTCTGTTTGTTTGGCATTGTTTTATTTATATGTATGTGTGTGAATATATACCCTATGAGTGCAGTTGCACAAGGAAGCCAAAAGGTAGTGTTGGAGCCAGGGGTGGTGGTGCATGCCTTTAATCCCAGCACTTGGGAGGCAGAGCCAGGCGGATCTCTGTAAGTTCAAGGCCAGCCTGGGCTACAGAGTGAGATCTAGGACAGGCACCAAAGCTACAGAGAGAAACCTTGTCTCAAAACAAAACAGAACAAAAACAAAAACAAAAGGTAGTGTCGGATCCCCTAGAGCTGGAGTTGTGGGCTGCCTGATATGGGTGTTAGGATGTGAGCCCAGATCCTCTGTAATAGCAGGAAGCACTCTTAACCATTGAGTTATCTCTAGCCTTCTTTGTTTTTTGAAACAGGGTCTCACTCTATGGTCTGTGCCAGCCTGCAAGTCACTAGATATCCCAGGACAGCCTCAAATCCACTGATCCTTCTGGCTCAGCCTCCCAAGCACTGGGATTACAGGTATAAGCCATTCTGCTCAGCAGCTAGCCTCTTCCTTATGCCACTTCTAAATTCAGTGCCATACACATGTGTTCATTTCTAGTAATGTTTCCCGAGCTGTATAGGTACAATATTAATATTTCAAGATATTTTAAAATGGCACATGGTTTTGGCAGCCAATTCCCTAAAAACTGGCAACCTTTTGGTATCATCAGTGTGTATTCAGTTCACTAATTCTGCTAGACACTGTCTCAACAAGTAAAGCTCAACACTAGTCCAAAATAACTGAAATTCCAAAAATGATTGGGAATATGAATTCAGATAATTTATGTATAAACCTAAAACTTACCTACATAGTTCACTGACCAATGTTAATTAGAGGAAATGCCATTCATTATACTACATAAATTTATATATTTTCCTCAGGTAACACTTCAAAGCCTAATGTAAAGTATGAGCTTAGAAAGCCTTAGTCACATTCTCCAATGACAGCAAAACAGTCTTGTTATACAAAAATACATAATGTGGGCATCGGAAAGAATCATTACTCTTAGTAAGTATTTTTAAATTTTCTATTATAGAAATGGATAAAATATCAATGAAGTCTGAAATGGTATGGAATTGATTGAGAAATGATAAAGATCAAAAATCAGAAGGATGAGTAGAAAAGGAGGAAAAATCTCAAAATTAGAACTGGGTGGGGTGGCACATGCCTATGATCTCAGCACTTGGGGGATGAAGTGAGACGGATCAGGGGTTTAAGACTAGCTTTAGCACATATTGAGTTCAATACCAGTATAGTGAGTTCAAGACCAGTCTCTGATACATAGCGACCTTGTTAAAAAAAAAAAAAAAA